ACTAATTTTCTTTAAATACCAAATTTACCCTTAACCAACTTTATTCAGAAATTATTACAAAACAAAAAGAAAATATTTTTACCTATAAATAATACAAAAAATATTACAAACCATAATATTTTAAAAATAATAAAAAATTAACATTAAGATACGAAAAATAATACAGATTTATCTAGAGAATATGAAATTATAATCCAATAAATGCTTGACGAGGTAAAGCTTGATGCTTAACCTTTCTTTTTAAGGGTAATTTGAGTTCACTCCACCTCAGAATTCCTAATGCAATCATGCAGTTCGAATCAGTGTGAAGGGGGGACTAAAACCCTAAAAAGCATTTTTTATCATTTATCTACACTAAAAAAATAAAAATCTATGATGCCAAGAAAGACATGACATTGAAAAGACTTTGACCCCCGTGAATTTTGATACAAGGGTAATTTGAGTTTCATTCTCAATTCATAGAGGGATGCTGTTGATAGGAGGGTTGGGGCCGGATAAATACATTTAGGGAATTAATAAATGAATTCCGTGGTGGAGTGGACTATAAAAGTGCCTTTGATTTAAATTCACCTGATTGGACCAGGTCCAATCCAATCCAATGAATGTTTTGGACCAGTCCAATTCAATGTCTGGATTGTCTAATCTGTTCAAATTCATTTCGATTTAGACCCAAACCCGGTCCATTGACATATATATTCTTATCTTATATCAATGGACCAGATATTGGTTTAATCCAACCCAATCTAATATAAATATGTTACAGGACCAAGTCCAATCTAATCCAATAAATGTTTTGGACCGGATTGATCCAATCCAATATATCTTGTTGGTCCGTCCAATCTGTCCAAATTGATTTTGGACTGAACGGGGTCCAATCCAAAACAGGTCCATTGACACTCTTACTAATGGGAGAGTACCATCAACCATGCCTTCAAAATTAATGTTTTAATTGTTTTTTATTTTTCTTTTTGAATGTTTATTTTTTCTCCAACCTCCAACCCTCGATCTTCTGATTCTAAATTTTCTGAGAGCTTCTCACACCCATCTCACACAACGTATTCCATCCTTACATCAGGAACATCTCCCGTAATGGGAAATGTTCTCAATACATGGGATATAATTAGGAGAGCTCTACGAGATGCAGATCCCAATAATCCGATTTTCCTCTCCACCCTCCTCTTGTTTCCTCTTCCGAACTCCCTTTGGCCCTCAGTGTCGAATGTCGATCACACAACAGCATGACAGTAAAAAACGTCGTTACCAGTCCCCCCTCTCTTTCTCTTCATTTCTTTCATTTTTCTTCCATCTCGTAAGTTCTCAAACACCGTTCCTGTGCCAGCTGGTATCTTCAATTGTATTTCTATTTCAACTGATGGATTATTTGCCAGCTCGTTTAATGTTGTTAGCACTACCTCTCTTTTAATTTATCAAATGCTCACATCTTGTTATCATCTTTCTATCCATAGATGGGTCCGAATGTAGTAGATACATTAGGTAAGCACAATGAGTGAGCCCGTAATAGCTGTGTGACACATGTCCTAATTAATGTGTCTTTCATTCAAACGTTTTTGTTCCGTTAAATAGAAATTATTCATTATTTTATTATCTTTGTCAAAATAATTAAAAATAAAAACAATAAAAAAGAAAAACCTAAACATATTGGGAATTGGGATTCATTTACATTTTCCATCTTAATTGTTTTTTTTTTTATTTATTTTGACAAAAATAATAAAATTATAGATAATTTCTATCTAACCGAACAAAAACGTTTAAATAAAAAACACATTAACTAGAACATATCTCGCACTAACGTGCCTACTACATCCGGACCCTACAGGTGCTTTTTTTCATTCCAAGTTCACATTTCAACAACATCTCAACATTGCTGGTTTGGAACTCGTCAGCCCCTTGTAATAATGTGGATCTCCACACTTAATTGCAACAAGGTTGGTCTCATGATCGTCAACCTAAACCATATAAACATTGATAATACCATCATCGGAATGGAACAATATAATGCATGTTTATGTGGTCATAAAGCATGTCCACGTGGATCAACAGGAAGACTATAAGTAGCTAAGTCGAGGACTACCACTTATCCTAGAGCCTAGGCAAGGTAAGGATCAACGACGTGGAACCCACCCATATGGCTGCATCACTGATGAGTTAATGCTAGTCCCCAGACAGAAAGGGACACGTAGCCAACACTAGTTGATCTTAGTCAACCATCAAGGTTGGCGCTTTAATTAGGCCCTGTTTGGCATCACTCCTTGGGAGTGATTCTACCGATTCTAGTGATTCTTAGAATGAGAATCACATTTGATGTAATCTAATGATATTCTCATTCGAAATGGGATGAAAAAAATCTTTTCCTGATTCTCCAATTTTCTCTCATTCTCCCATACATTCTCTAGTTCTCTAATTCTTAGTTTTATTTTAATTTCAATAAGAATAAGACTTGGACTCTTGGAGTTGAAAGGCTCCAATCGTTGAAATCAAGTTGGGATTCTGAACCAGCAATCCAAGTAAGTGCAATTAAATTAATTTTTTTTAGAATTAAAAAAATAGTCGGCTCCTTACAAAACCAATTCCCCAACAAGTTCAATATTAACGATATTTAGTCACATCATAGTAGTATTAGCACTAATATGGATGCTATTGATATTGACGGAACTTTCAACCCCTAGTACTGATACTAAGGGAATGAAAAAGAAAGCCACTAAATTGTTTGCCAAAAATGTAAGGACTTTAATTGCAGTAAAGGGTGGTACTAGTCATTTGGGCAAACATTTACTCACCCATTAGAAAGAAGAAGAAGAAGGGAGATAAATAACACAAACACAAATAAGGCGGGGGGTTTGGTATTTTTAAATATTCTCAAGAAAAAATGAGGCAAGAATTAGCAAAATACATTATACATGTCGGCTTAACAATAATTTTTGTTAGATGAAGATATTAAACTTGAAAAATGGTTATGTAATTCTATAAATCCACAATTTAAAAAAGTTTTTAGGAATACTATTAGATCAGATGCTTTAACAATTTTTTATTCATATAAACAAAATTAATTTATATGTTATTAAATCTTACTTCTAAAGTTGCAATTAGGACTTCTAAATTTAACATAAGTTATATTTGTGTTAATAGTCATTTTATTGATGAAAATTGACTTTTAAATAAAAGAATTTAAATTTTATTGGGCTTGAATTGCCACATACTGGCCCATCTATTGCTGCAAGTATTTTAAATACTTTACATAGTTATGAAATTGACAATAAATTGTTTTCTATTAGTTTTGATAATGCTAGTTATAGTGAATCAATGATAAATGTTTTAAAATCTCAATTAAAACCATGTTTAAATGGTTAATTATTTTATATCACGTGTGCATGTCATATCTTAAATTTATGTATTCAAGATGATTTAAATATTATTTTTACTCATATTTCTAAAATTAGAAATTGTATTATATATATTAAAAGTTCTTGAGCAAGAAATCAAGAATTTAAATATTTATGTCAAAATTATGGTTTAAAATATAAACATTTTATATTAGATATTAAACATAGATGGAATTCTACCTATGCTATGTTAGAAAATTGTATTTCTTACAAACAAATTCTTAGTGATTTTTATAATGCAAAAATTCCTATTGATATTATATTTAAGAAAGATTGGGAAATGGCAATTTGTATAAGAGATTTTTAAAAACATTTTTATAATGAAACTAATGAATTATCGGGTATTTATTATCCAATTAGTTATAATATAACTTATCAATTAATGATGATTAGTGATTGTTTTGCAAAATATAGAAAGAATCCACAATTTAAAAGTATTGTTGAAATAATGGAAAATAAATTTAAAAAATATTGAGAGAACATGTCTCCTCTTTATTGCTTAGTTACAATATTAGATCTTAGGATTAGGAAATATGGTTTATATATTTTACTTGAAACATATTGTGAAAATATGAATATTGAAATTAGAAAAAAAAAAAGAAAAAATTAATAATTTATTATTTGAAATGTATAGCTTATATGAATTTAAAGTAACAAGGAATAATAAAAATTCTATAACTTGTACACATGCATCTTCCACTTTTGAACTTGAGTCCAGTAGTGGAAGAGAGACTTTTTTATTTAACAAGGGGCAGAAATCCACTGCCTCGAAAATAAGTTCATTTACAAGCAATTTTTTCTACTTTAGGTAATTCTTCCTTCACCTCGCAAAGAACAAATAATTTTGATATTTTAGCTTGATGGAATAAACATGAAAAAAATTATCCAATTCTCACCGCCATGGCATGTGATATACTACCCTTGGTGATAAGACATTGTATATGGTGGTTCAACCAACTTGTTCCATCATCCATGTCTCTCTCTCTCTCTCTCTCTCTCAAACAAACACAACAACTAATAACTCAAGGGTGTAATTTGATATTAGCCTTTCTTCATTTGCCAATGTGATTTGGCAATTAAAATCTTTATCCTTCAGTCCCTTGTATATTATTGGCTTATTTGCATTTGTACTTTTAATACAGATGTTATTATTAGGGATATGTTTGGGTATTGCCGGTGGAAGAGTCCATTTTGATTATACTAGACGAACTGCTGCATCTTCCAAAACAAAACTTTCGACTTGCACTGCAAGAAAAGAAACAATGTGGAAATATTGTTATCCAAGAAAAAACAAGTCGTTGCTTTGTCAATCCAAATGGTCAAAATATACTATATAATCAAAAGTCTGGATTCCATATTAAGGTTATCTTAGTCATGTGCAATTTGACAGTAGGGGGTAAATGCAAATGTTGAAAATATCGATGATCATAAAAAGTTCAGGCACAAGCATAAAAAAAGGTAGTTTCTTTTTTTACTAAAATGAACTCCACATATGATTACTTTTCTTCTTTAATGCCCTAGGTTGAACTTGTTTGGTATTCTGAAACAAGACACTGCAAGCTCTAACTGGTTTAATGTCCACCCCATCCACCCCCACACTTAATACATTAAAGGAGAATTCATAAAGTAGGATCATGGCAACATAATAAAGAGATTGTATAAAAAAGCTAAAGAAAAGTAAGAATGCAGCACACACCCTACAAAGAAGATCTCAGACACCAGTACAAGCTTTTACATATCAACCAATACGTATTCCAGACAATCCAAACAATCTGATGGACCTGCTGTTTAAGGGAATCAAACTGGTGGGTCATCAGCCAAGAAGATCCTGAAGGAATTACCAAATGGTAATGTATAACCCCAGCAAAGTACCATGTATATGCAGAAAAAAGAACGAATACTAGGACCAACATCAGAGAAAGATCATTTGTTCTGTGCAAAAAGAACTTGAAAGGCACAAACCAAAAGAATTTTGATTCCCAGAATTATAGAGTGAAGAAGCCCATCAGAATTGCCAAATGAGACAGGATGGTTAATTCAAGTGTCATAACAATGACACATAAATCAGTTGCAACTGCCTTCAAAAATACCTAGGTTGCAACAAAACAACTTTGACAACACATGCAGGCAATCAAGATACCAAGGAGAGCTCCAGCAATGACCTGTGATGGGGTGTGACCAAGAAATTCCTTAAGCTTTCTTTGACTGATAGGATGCCCTTGAAACAAGTCCTGAATGATCATATTAAGGACCTGCAAAGATCAGCATTTTTTGAGTAATAGAACAGAAGAGGAATTGTGAATTTTGATTACTAAAATAGTAAGGTCAGGCCAATACCAGTACACCACACAAACATATTTCACCAAACATGGACTTGGGCCATAATCTCCTAAAGCAAAAATGGTCTAATCGCTACTGGGATAACTGTAAGCATAATACTTATCACAACCTTTGGGCATTCAGAAAATTTTCCCAAAATTAAGTTCAATTTAATAAAGGGATGACACAATTTTTTGTCTGGACGTCCTTGGATGAAGCCATCAGATAGCAGCCTTCAACAGGTAAAAGGTACAACCTTGTTATTAGTAGTACCCATCCAGTGGGAATTGTGGATCAACATTGCGCAATGGTGAGCTGTCCAAATAATAGGTTAATGGGGAAATTGTTTGCAAGATATAGGAATTATGGTCATAAAAGGTTAACTGACACAAACACAGTATTTTTTGGGGATGTATTTGAAGGTAGAGTTGCCTTTAACATGCAGATATCTTTTAAGGTGAGTAGGGATATAGAGGGCATTGTTGAGAAATCAAATTGTGTGTTAGAACCCCTTTCATTGCATTTTCTTTTACTATACAGAGTGGCCCTGGAGAGAGGAACATTGGTGACTTCTATTATGTAGGGACAGTAGTGGCTTGTATAGTGCTCTTGCACGAGAAACAACATGCATGTTTGGGATGTGGACCAGATGCTTACTTTCTTTGAAAGGATAAATGAGACATCATCTCCATGTGAGAAAGAAGCTATGCATCTAGAGGAAAAAGGAAGAGGCTGAAAAGGGGCCAAATCTAGCACTTGATATAATTATTTTGAAGATAAATAAAAAGGAAAATTCATTGATGAAAAAAAAAACAAGGTACAAAGTCTTTGGTGACAAGGTGTCACCAACCAACATACAAAACTGGATCCAAAAGAGACAAAAACCACTAATCCAACAGTGATCAAACATTCAAAGTACACCAGAATTCCGAACCAAAGTCTTCTTTTCTGAAGCCTCCAAATTCTGGAAGGATTAAAACCCCAACCAATTATCTTTGAACTGATGATTGCCCCTAACTCTTCATTGCTCTTCATCTTCCCTTAGAATATTCTTTTGTTTTTCTCCTTCCATACCTCTCAACAAACAGCAAATGGAACGCAGCTCCAAAGGATTTTGGCTTTAGTGTTCCCGGGTACTCTTGGCCAGCTTCCATAGATCTCAGCATACCCATTAGGTGGCCATCCAACCATTCTGAATAGCTTGAAGAAGTAGGGCCAAATTCCTCTCACATAAGTCACTGAACCAGCAAATTAAGAATATTGTCTTCCTCAGAAAGACATAACACATCTGTTTGGAAAGTTGAATCCTCTCTTTTTTCAACTTGTCTTGAGTGAGAATGCTGCCCATTGATACCAACCAAGCAAAACTTTCCACTCTTGGAGGAAATGGTTAACCAAAATACAATGATTAAACATTCAAAGTACACCAGAATTCCAAACCAAAGTCTTCTTTTCTAAAGCCTTCAAATTCCAGAAGGATTACAACCCAGCCAATTATCTTTGAACTGACGATCCCCCCTAACCCTAACTCTTCATTGCACTTCATCTTCCCTTCGAATATTCTTTTGTTTCTCACTTCCTCCTTCCAGACCTCTCAACAAACAGCAAATGAAATGCAACTCCAAAGGATTTTGGCTTTAGTGTTCCCATGTACTCTTGGCCAGATTCCAAAGATCTCAACATACCCATTAGGCAACCATCCGACTATTCTGAATAGTTTGAAGTAGGCCCAAATTCCTCTCACATAAGTGCACTGAACCAACAAATTAAGAATATTCTCTTCCACAGAAAGACATAAAAACACATCTGTTTGGAAAGTGGAATCCTCTCTTTTCTCAACTTGTCTTGTGTGAGAATGCTGTCCATTGATACCAACCAAGCAAAACCTTCCATTATTGGAGGAACTGGTTTCCCCCAAACACCTTTGACTGAATCATCTTCCACCTGATTCCTAACCAAAGCATTATACAGATATTTGACTGTGAACCTCCCCCATTCTTGCATTCCTTCCACCACTTTGCATCTGTCAGTGAAAGATCAACCACAGCCTTTTACAGCTTCAAAAGCATCCCCACACATCCCTCCATTTCCCAATCCAATAATGGTCTTCTGAAGGTAGGACACCACACCACTGCACCATTTCTAACCCCATAACATTGAGAAATTGTCACCCCCTTCTTGCTCAAACTATATAGCGTTGGACACAGTTCACAAAGCTTTCAACTTCTAACCATTCGTCTTCCCAAAACCTCACACTAGAACCAGTCCCCACTCTCCAAGACATAATGGCTGAAGAAAAAGAGTTAATCTCATGATCCCCTTCCACACACACCCCATAAGAAGATCGCACCTCCCTCACATCCCACCCAAAATTAACCATCCTATATTTACAAGCCACAACCCTTCTCCAAAGAGCTTCCCTCTTCCTCCCAAATCTCAAAATCCATTTCCCCAACAATGCTTTATTGAAATGCTACCCTCTATCGACATTTTCCATTTTTCTCCAAACCCAAACTCTCTCATGACCCAATCGACCAAGTCATAAGCCTTCTCTAGGTCCAGTTTACATAATAAACTGTCTGCCCCCAATCTCAACATTTTTTTGGACACTCTCATTAGCAAACAAAATTTGACCTAGAATTTGTCTATTCTTGACAAAGGCTGCTTGCTAAGGAGAAACAATGGAATTCAGGACCACTTTTAACCTTCTAGTTAGGCCTTTTGAGATGATCTTATAGAAATTGTCTCTTAGATCATTGGGCTGAAACCTTTAGGATGGGTAGCTTCCATTTTTTTGGGGATTAATGTGGTGAAGGTAGCATTAGCCCCAATATTGATAACACCCTTAAAATGGAACTCATTAAAAGTCACATTTAGATCCTCTTTTAGCATATCTCGACACTCTAAACAAAATCCCAATGTGAATCCATCAGGTCTGAGTCCAAAAATGACCCTTGTCATTTGTTCCTTGAACAGTTTTCTAATTGTGATACCAAATGTTGGGAAGTTCTAGGCCACCTTAACTCTTCAACCTGCAACCTAGATCTGGAGGCAAAATTCCTAAGATGGATTTAAAATTGTTTACCAAGGTCCTTTCAATTTCAAGTAAGGATGTTACCACTATACTATTCACCTCTAATTGGGTTATTTTGTTTTTCCTCTTTTTTTCTTGTTTGCTAATGAGTAAAAGAACTTGGTATTAGCCTTTAATTGGTTTTCCCCCCTTCATTGATCCATCAGCACCTTGACTTTTTCCTCCAATAAATCTCTTCCCTTTCCAAGATCACATTAATTAGCCTTCAATTACCATCTTCTTTCCCTTTCCTCATTAATCAAAGATCTATTCTCTTCACGGTTGTCTTACTGTTGAGACACAAATAAAGGGAATATAAGTGTACAAGAAAAGGCCACATCAACCTTTAAAGAATATAACTAACAGCCAACCACTAGAACAAACTAAATAACAAACTAGACAAGTGGACTGGACAAGTGGAGAGGCTGGTACAACAGAATTAACAGCCAACCACTAGAACAAACTAAATAACAAACTAGACAAGTGGACTGGACAAGTGGAGAGGCTGGTATAACAGAATTGTAACAGCAGTGTTATAACAGAAGGGATTATTGAATTGGGAATACAACCTCTCTTCCTTTCTCTCTCTCTCTCTCTCTCTCTCTCTCTCTCATTCTGGAGGTAGGCTCCCTCGAAAGAGTCCCTGAGTTAGGCAGTTCCTAACACTTACTCCCTAATTTGTGCCAAGAGTGCTTTTTGTTGGTGGGTATTTCCAAAGACTAACATATTCCAGTACTTGGTAATCTTCCTTTAGGGGTTTTATTCAGACAATGGCTGGAAGAAGGGCTTGTTTGTTTGTGTTGATTACTGGTGCTGGTGTGGATTTAAGTTGCTTTCTTTTTTTTTTTTTTTTTTTGAAAGATAAGATAAATTTTATTAGAAACAACAAGTAAATAGTACAACAGCTCCCTTGCCACACTGAGATTAGGCAGGAAAGCAGATCATATTTCAGACTCCAAAGGGAATGGTATCTTAACAACTCAGGCACATCCAAGTTTTTGAACTCAGAATTTACAGAGACCCAAGATATCAGTTTACTGACAGCAGAATGTATTAGGTCCTCTGAACTCTTCACTTTGTTACATAAGATTCTATTGTTTGTTTCAGTCCAAATGGACCAAAGAACAGCTGCAGGAACAGACTTCCAGACAAGCTTTCCTTTTTTTCTTCAGTTCTTGGACTTTCCAGCAGCACAGTAAGTCTTTGACTGAGCTCGGCATTACCCAACTGATCCCAACAGCATTAAGAAAGTGATCCCACACCTTGGAAGTGACAGAACAGTGTATACTCAGGTGATCTGTAGTTTCAGGCACTAGACCACAGAGGCCACAAGACAAATCCAAGTGTTGCAGGCCCCTTCTCTCCAGAATTGTTCTAGTGAGACATTTATCTAAAGCCATAGCCCAAACCAGAAAATTCACTTTTAAGGGAGGGGTAGGATTCCAAATTTTCAATTTATTTGTGTTTATTTTGTCAATGGCGGGTAGAGACGAAAGATTTTTCTTGGTTGTTTTGCAAGAAGGGTTTGTTTATTTGTGTTGATTACTGGTGTTGGTGTGGATTCTCTTAGTATGTGGACTGGGCTTTAAAGGGTTGGTCTTAGCATCATGAACTGTGTACAATGGTGCTTTTTGTTTGGGGAAATCGTTTTTGAAGAGGGTGTAATTGTTTTAACATTTTGTATATTCGAGCTGTATAGGTCTTTTAGGGGATCATAGGGGTGAGCGTTGTTCAGTTAAAACCGACAAACCGAACCGAAATTTTCAGTTTCGGTTTGTTTGGTTCGGTTAATTCGGTTTTAAAAAATTTCGGTTTCGGTTTTCAGGATTAGAAATTTGATTAACCGAAAAAACCAAATTA